ACATAATCAGGTTTATGTTTTAAATATACCATTTCAGCAGATGTGTAGAGATCAGAGAGGGAGGGGAAATAAGAATAAACAAAGAGGAAACAGCTAGAGGCAGTTTCAGAAATTTAAGTGGTCAAACTGGCAGTTTGAACCAGGTTAGTGACGGTTGAAACTTTGAGAAATACATATGAGGTATATATTTTATTACTTCTATTCAACCTGGGAATCCTTGCCTGTGCAAGAAGGCAAGAAAAAGATGTAAAAGACATAGAGATTGGGAAGAAAGAAATAAAAGTTTCTTTATTCACAAGATCACATAATCACCTGTGTATTAGAAATCCCAAAGAATATACAAAAAAGGGACTAGAAAGGATAAGTGGATTTGGCAAGTTTGTAAGGTACCATGTTGTTATAAAAAGTTGATTATATTTCTATATACTAGCAAAGAACCATTGAACATTGACATTTTTTAAAAATAACATTTCGAATAGCATCAAAATCCACAAAATATATAGAGAGAACTCTAAAAATATGTGCAAAGTTTGATGTTAAAAGCTACAAAATACATTGATGACAGAAATTAAAGAGGACCTAAATGAAGGGAGAGATATACTATGTTTATTGAGCAGAAGACTTTACATGCTTATGATGTCTATTCTTCTCAGACTGATCTACAGATTCAAGGCAATATAGTCAAAATTTCAAGTTTTTTTTTTTTGGTAGAAATAGACAATCCAATTCTAAAATTTATATAGAAAAGCAAAATATCTAAATAGACAAAGCAATTGACTGATTACCTGATTTCAATACTTACTACAAGCTATCAAGGTAGTGTATTATTAATGTAAGGGTAGACATATAATCAATAGAATACATTAGAGTCAAAAATAAATACACACATATATGGTTACCTGATTTTTAAGAAAAGTACCAAATGATTTAATGAAGAAAGGATAGTTTTTTCAACAAATCATGCTGAAACAATTGGACATCCATATTAAAATAAATCACAAATAAATAAATATTAATAAAAGAATGACAAATTCAACCTATACTGTATACTATTTAAAAAGAACTCAAAATGAATCTTATAAAACCTAAACCTATAAGACTTCTATAAGAAAGCATAGGTGGAATTTTTTGTGGCCTTGGGTGAGGCAAGAACATTTTAGATAGGACACAGAAAAATTGATTTAAAATTTTAGAAGATGGACATCATTGAAATTAAAAACTGTGCTCTTTGAAAGACAATGATAAGAATATGAAAAAGCAAGTTACAGATTACAGGAAAATCCTTGTAAAACACATAATAGTGAAAGATTTCTACCTGGAAGCTAAGAATGTTTACAACTAAATTATAAGATAATTTTGAACAACTATTTCACAAATGATATACGGATAGCAAATAAGCACTTCAAAATATTATCAACATTATTGGTCGTTAGAGAAATGTAAAGTAATAGCACAATGACATACCATATGCCCCCCACTAAAATGGTTAATTATATATATTTTCAAAGAGACAATACAAATGCTGGCAAGGATGTGAAACAACTGAAATTCCTATAGACTACTGCTGGAAATCCATAATGGTATAGGCACCTTGAGAAAGCTCATCATAAGGTGTAGTAATCCATCCATTATGCATTTATCCAAAAGAAATAAAAACAACCACACAAAGACCTAACTTATTTTAGCAAGTTTATTCATAATAGCCCAAAAGTGAGATTAACTCAAATGATCATAAATTTGTGTATGCATAAACAAATTGCGTCACAGCTACAATACAAAATACTATACAGCAGTGAAAAAGAATAAATTACTGATGGCCAGGTGTGGTGTCTCATGCCTGTAATCCTAGCACTCTGGGAGGCTGAGGCAGGAAGATTGCTTGAGCTCAGGAGTTTGAGACAAGCCTAAGCAAGAGCAAGACTCCACCTCTACTAAAAATAGAAAAATTAGCTAGGCATTGTGGCATGCACCTGTAGTACCAGCTACTCAGGAGGCTAAAGCAAGAGGATCATTTGAGCCCAGTACTTTGAGGTTGCAGTGAGTTACAA